CTGGTCTTTTCTGTGCTGGACAATTATTTCTATTCTGTCATCTTCCTCTTGTTTATTTTCACGTGCTGTGCTCTGGGACCTCAACGTCTTTGAGTGACCAGCCCCTCAGAACCACCCTCTCCCACCCACTGTGGCCTGCTAGCTTAAGCACTTAGGAAGTGAAGACCTGAAAATGGAGGGGAAAAACCTTCAAGTTAAATAGCAGGTAAGGTACAGCGGAAGAGAAAACAATCACTTGAAAGCCAGAAACAATGAAATTACCAAAAATGGAGCATAAAGAAAAGGAAAGTTTCAAGGGTTCAGATCCTCATATCGGTCAGCCACCAAAAAAAAAAAAAAAAAAAAAAAAAAAAACAGAAAAGGCAGGTTGAATGAGAAGCTCCATGGACTTCTAATGAGATTTCCCGAGTTGGTGTAAATCACAAATACTCAGCTTCAGGGAGCACAGTTGAGTCCGGAGCAGTATAAATAAAAATATAAATAAGACATCAACATGTAAGTTAACGTGAGCTTTTTAAAATATTAGGTGGGTCCAAGTGCTGTGGTATTTACAACTAATTGATCACAGATCAATTACAGATTTCTTTGTTCCTTCTCCCCTACTGTTTCATTTGACTCGCCTTAAAAAATAAAATATATGGTTACCTGTACCAGCCAACGCAAAATAAATAAAATATTGCAGTAATCCAAAAGAAGGGCAGGAAGGGAGAAGCAGAAGAAGAAATAACAGATGGGACAAAGAGAAACCATACAATTATAGACTTTGATCCACCTATATCAATAATCACATTAAATAATGAATTAACCACTCTAATTAAGAGGCAAGGATTATAAACATAGATTAAAAATATATATTTGCCAATTAATATGCTGACTATAAGAGATGCACTTTGGGCCGAGCCCGTGGCGCACTCAGGAAAGTGCGGCGCTGAGAGCACAGTGGCGCTCCTGCCGCGGGTTTGGATCCTATATGGGGATGGCCGGTGCACTCACTGGCTGAGCGCAGGGCGGCCGGTCTCAAAAAAGGACAAAAAAAAGAGAGATGCACTTTAAATATAACAATATAGACCTAAATAAATAAATGGAAAAAGATCCACCATCCATCATCAATGTGTATGAATGCTTACAAAGCAAAATTCTAGTCATAGCTAGAGATTTTAATACTCCTCTCAGTAATTGATAGAACCGTCTACAAAGTCACTAAACACAGGACGCCTGAACAACCCTGTCACCTGCACCTGCTGGGCATTTATAAAACTCCCCATCAACAGCAACAATACACTTTCTTCTCCACGTTCACCATTATAGGCTATATGCTAGGCCACAAAACAAGCCTCAATAAATTTAATAGGATTAAAAGCATGCAGAATATGTTCATTTGCCACAATGGAATTAAGTTAGGAATCAATAACAGTAAGATATCTGGAAAAGTTTACAACAGTGGAACTAAAATACAAGACAAAAATAGCACATATGATCAGAGAAAACGGTCTTAAAATGCTTTACGGTAGTATTGGAGAGGCTGATAAACATGATCCAAGTTCAAGTAGTTAAGGATACTGGAATATAGGGTATAACTCCAGAATGATCACACACAGGATTGTGAAGGAGCATAGTAAAATCAGGATAAACACATATAAAATGGTAGAAATAAGTTTAAATTTAGCAGCAATAATTTCAAATCACAATACTTGAAAAGGCAGCTTGTGTAATTGACAAAAAAGTCAATCACATGATATGTAAATTATACATCTCAAAATACTAAAAATGCTTTTTACAATACTGGGGAGTGGGGATCTAAATCAATGAGCTGATAAGAAAATAAGGAATCTTCAGAGACTAAAAACCAAATGAAATTTTAAAATCTTGAGAACAATCAATTTTCTTTTTTTTTTTTTCTTTTTAAATAAGAAAATGAAATTTATTGCTTATGGTTTCTGAGGCTGGGAAGTCCAAGGAACACATCTGGTGGTGGCAACAGTGACCCCTCACATTGCAAGATGGTGGAAGCAGAAAGAGCAGAGAGACTCAAGCTTCTATTGATGACATGGGAGACAGAACACAAACTCAAGAACCTAATCCCTTTGAAGAGTCTATTAGGAGACCTTAGACCACACTGTCAGGAGAGGGGTGTACTAAAGGTAAAGCCAGGCATTAAAAAAAACAGGAATCTCTTCAATGTGAGTATCTACCACAAAACCTACAATGACCATTAAGGTTTAAAAGGTGAAATATTGAAATCTGCCTCCAAGATGAAGAGTGAGGTATAGATGTACCTGTTGTCACCACTTTTATTTCACCATTGTACTGTAGACTGTAGTAAGACAATAAAAAGGAACAGTTTAAGAATTTGGAAAGGGAAAATAAAATTAATTCAAAAATGGCATTTATGTATACAGAAATTCAAATTTATAATCCATAGTCAGGGTTTTAGGATACAGGTCAATACACAAAAATCAATTGTGCGTGTATGTCTGTGTGACTGTGTGCAAAAACATCAAGTACCAGGACTGGCCCGTGGCTCACTTGGGAGAGTGTGGTGCTGATAACACCAAGGCCACGGGTTCGGATCCCCTTACCAGTCATCTTTTAAAAATAAATAAATAAAAACTTGTTTTTCTTATTAGTTGACCTAAAACAGTTTGGTTAAAATAGTAATAGCAACAATGTAGTCAATTATAGTTTATGTGTAAGTGAAATGAATCATAGCAATGATACAAGGGCAGGAGGGAGGGATTAGGATTATTTTGTTATGAAAAGGAACCTGCACTACCTGTGAAATGGTATAGTCTTGTCTGAAAATGGACTTAGATTAGCTGTAAATGTACATTGCAAACTGTAGGGCAACCACTAAAAAAAGTTTTAAAAAATACAACTAGTATGCTAAGTAAGGAGAGAACATGGAATCATAAAATGCTCAATTAAAAGCACCAAAGGTGGAAAAAGAGTGGAAGACAAAAATAGAAATAAAGCAACAAATAAAAAAAGTAACAAATATGATAAATATAAATCCAATTATATCAATAATCACTTCAAACGTCAATGATATAAATACATCAACTAAAAGTATTTAGAAGAAAGTATGATGGGCTGGCAGGTTAGCTCCGTTGGTTAGAGCGTGGTGTCATAACACCAAGGTCCAGGGTTCGGATCCACTGCCTGCCAGCCGCCCGAATAAATATTTTTTAAAAAGAAAATATGAGAATATTTTTATGACTTCCAGGCACAACTGGATTCTTTAGGACAAAAAGCATAATTTTAAAATTTTATAAAATTTGATACACAGGATTCCAGAAAAAAATTTCAAT